TAAACTCATTTCCTTCAGTAGTGATTTCAGAAAAACTTACACATATCGTCAACAGATAAAATATATGGATTTGGGCAGCTTGAATCGAAGGGGAACTTTGAACTGTGCATGGAGGGAGCCCATCTGTTGTTACATCTGACTGATTATTATGGGACTCAATGACCTCTGCACCTTCCCATCTCAAATGATAAACCTACAGGCTTGAATACGAGACCATTCACATTCCCGATCACTGCCCCACAGCAATTTAATAAGAGAATCAGTGTTAATTGCTTTCGGGAACCTACAACTATCTCAGGAAGAAGTCCCATCTTAGAGAGTTGTTGGCCAATTGGATAACCGGCAGCATCGCCATTTCAGTGATCCCAGCTAGGTGCTCCTGCAGCCCAAGGTGTACAGTGTCTGATGAAGGCAGCTCATTGTCACCTTCTCCAGTGCAGCTGAAGGAGAGCACTCCATACCGCCCAACCAGTGAGATCCACATGCCATGAATGAAAAAAAAGGAAGTATCAAACAATTTATTGATTGATAGATTTATCGTCACATATACCAGAGTACAGTAAAAAGCTTTGTTTACAAGCAATACAGGCAGATCATAGTAAGCAAGGATGTACAGATCAGAGGTTGTAAACAGAATTAGACAGAGGCATACAGGTTTCCTTGTTTTCTCCTAGCGAATGCCCTGTGCAATGTTAGCAAGATCAGCATTATTTGAGGCTAAAGAGTCCATTCATCAGTCTGATAACGGCTGGGAAGCTGTTCCTGAACCTGCTGGTGCATGTGTCCAGGCTGCTGTATCTTCTACCTGACAGAAGAGTTGTAGAAGATCATTATCTGGGTGTGATGGGTCATTGATGATTTTGGCAGTGAGCCGTGTAAATGGAGTCCATGGGTGGAAGGTTGGCATCTGTGATGGTCTGGGCTGTGCATAACACCTTCTGTAACGCCTTACAGTCCTGGGCACAGCAGTTGCCATACCAGGCCGTTATGCACCCGGACAGTATGCTTTCAATGGTGCAGCTATAGAAGATGGTGAAGGACCTTGTGGACATGCCAAATTTCCTGAGCCGCCTGAGGAAGAGGAGCCCTTGTTGTGTCTTCTTGACTGTCACATCTATGTGGGAAGTCCAGGACAGGTTGTCGGTTATCTTCTCTCCTAGGAACTGAACGCTCTTCACCCTCTCAACCTCAGTTCTGTTGATATAGATGGGGGCATGTTCTTTTTTTTCTGGAATCAATGATCAGTTCTTTAGTTTTGCCAACGTTAGAGAGAGAGAGACAGGCTGTTTGTATTTTTATTGTTCTCATGTCACCAAAGCCTCTATTTCCCTCCTATATTTTGATTCATCATTGCTGGATATCCGTTCGACTACAGTGGTGTCGTCAGTGAACTTGTAGATGGCATTCATTCAGAATTTGGCAACACAGTTGTGGATGTACAGTATGGGGCTCGGTACACATCCTTGGGCACCTCCAGTGTTGAGCATCATTGTGGAGGAGGTGCAGTTACCTGTCTTCACTGATTGTGGTCTATGGATCAGGAAGCTGAGGATTCAGTTGCAGAGGGTGGAGCCGAGACCCAGGTCACAGAGTTTTGAGATCAGTCTGGAGGAGATAATGGTATTGAAGGCAGAGCTGTAGTCGATGAGCAGAAATCTGACGTAGGTATCCTTGTTGTCCAGATGTGTCAGGGGTGAGTGCAGGGCTAGGGATATGGCATCTGCTGTGGATCTGTTATGTCGGTAGGCAGATCATAGGGAATTGAGGTAAGCTGGGAGACTGGAGTTGATGTGGATCATGACCAGCATCTCAAAGCACTTCATGCTTACTGAGGTCAGAGCCATTGGGCGGTAGTCATTAAAGCACATTGTATGTGCTTTCTTAGGTACCACCTCGCAGGGCCACTGGCAAAGCTGACTGGGTGAGCTGACCTTTGAAGGAAGTGAGGAAGTTGTGCAGTTCTTATCAAATCTCTCAGGGACCAGTAAATTGTGATGCCCTCAAGAACAATCGGTGTCAATTAAGTCATCTCTGAACCTGGGTGACATCATCCTCTTCATCATCAGCCAAGGATCCCACGTTAATTCCGCCCGCCTCACATTTAAGCAGACCTGGCCGTCATTGTCCACTCCACAACAGGCTGCAGTTATTTCCACTTGATGTGTCTTCCTGTACTAGGAAAGTAAAATGGATCGTTAGACCATGATTATTTATAAAATTACCATGAACACGTTAGCTAAAATCTGCATAAATTTTATATTGAGTAAAAAAAAGACATCAAATCCCAAAGTTTTGAACATTGGGATAACAGGAAAATCATCAAAAATTAAGAAATTCTGTTGTCATTGAAATATGTTTCCCAAAACATTGAAAATGACGCTTGAGGCCTAATTTGTTGCCTCAATGCTACATATACTCCAATTTATGTAGAAATAATTTATCCTTTTTTTCACTGAAGAGCACCTAAGAATGTTAGAGGAATCTTTGAAATGTTCAGAATATTGTAAGTACAGGTATGATAATCTTGCTTTCACCCTTTTAGCTTGCTACTGCTTGAATCTGCCTGTAGCCCAAGAGTTCAATTGCTCCACTCTTCTATTGTGGATATTTTAAATGCCAGTGGCTTAGTAACAGATTGAAAGTTCTACAACACTTTTGTACTAAACTGAACACTATAACAGTTTAAAACCCTAAAATTGAAGGTATTAGTTCATACTCTAGGAGAACTACAAGTTACCTTTTTAAAAGTGTTGAATTCTTCACTTTGGTCATACAGCAGACATCTCTCAAATCTTCAATCCAAAGTTGTCTGGAATTGTCTTTTGCAACAATCACATATAAATGAAGAGGCATTTCCTGTACATTTTATTTGTGTAATATGCTAGAAATGTGAGAATTAAAATTTCAAGGTCTAATAGTAAAGAATTAAGGGTATTGGAAGTTATCAGGCATGAAGCTGTTGATATTAATTCCTAAATGAATAAACCTGTTAGTGCAAAAATTGCATAGTTTTCTGTTTTAAAACTTAAATCTATTTTTTTAAAATTTACGTAAGTTTATTTGACTTGTTGTCTATTCCAGTATTATTTTCCTTCTGGACATGCCAGAGCTTTTTGTTGACAAAATGCAATTTGTGCGTTTTCATTATTAAAAGTTTGAAGGTTTTATTTCCTGTGTAATCCCTTGCAGCAGGTTTTCAGTCAGCCTCAAATGTAAAAGTAACTGCTACTATTGCCCAAATCAAATGCCATTCAGTCATCCATATTTTTCACAATAAACACAGAATATTTTTGTTAATACTAATACTTTATTAACAAATTATTTTCTATTTCAGCAAACCTTTTTACATCACGTTTAAAGATTTTGACCTGAGCTATCAGTTTCATTTGCAGTAGTGATTTTTGTGATCACTAAAGATACATACAAGGTTGGGAAAGCTTTTATTGACATTACTGTACATGGAAACATCATTTTCTTTGTCACAATTTACATTTGGCTAAACTACTAACAGTCTGCAATAAAGCTGCAGGCTTTAACAGCTAAAATTTGCAAAATGACTCCCTAGCTTTGTTGTGCTGTGAACATTTACGTTTAGGTCTGTAGAGGCTGGAATGAAACAAAATGCAGAGAAGCTAAAACAAAAAGAGAGTAAAGTTAGTCTCCTAAAGACTTTCCTTTGAAGCATATGACACTGCATGACTGTATTGTAAACTTTATGTCCAAATAGTGAGAAATAAAGAAAGGGCAAAATTTAATTCATATAAATCATACAGATGAATTGAGAGAAAACATTAAAACTTCATTCTGAAGCGATGATGAAATGGCTTTATCATTCATCTGGAATCCATTTAAACTGGTTTAAATTACAGTTGAAGAGAAAGAATGTAAAAACTTAAGCTGAACAACCAGTATAGGTATTGAAATCTTTCTTGCACTTTTACCTTACTCAGTGCAACAATTCAGGTGAATGGAAATATCGGGCTGGATTTAATGCCACACAGTACTGAGACCCATAGGGTAGGCAGAGGTACTCCAATCTCCTTACGGTAGGAGAAACATCTCTGATGAACTTGGAGGGTGGACAGGACAAATGCCAGATTCCCTCAGCTGCTGGTGATCAAATGTCATTAATAAGCCAATTAACACCCATTATGGTGGAGCTCACTGCATTATAGTGATGCATTATTGATTTAATGGGATCTGCATAACTTTCCTTTCATTTGAGGGTCACTCAGCAAACACTATCAGGTGTGCTGGTGGTCTCCCAGGGAGGTTCATCCTTTCTCTGGGCAGCATGGTGGCTCAGTGGTCAGCTCTGCTGCCTCACAGCACCAGGGATCCAAGTTCGATTCCACCCTTGGGTGCTTGGAGTTTGCACATTCTCCCTGTGTCTGCGTGGGTTTCCTTCAAGTGTCCCAGTTCCCTCCCACAGTCCAAAGATATGCAAGTTACGTGGATTATCATGCTAAATTGCCCCGTAGTGACCAGTGATGCCCAGGTTATGTGGGTTAGGCATGGTAAATGTGGGGTTACGGGGAGTGTGTGGAGGGCTGGGTGTGGGTCAGATGCTCTCTGGATGGTTGGTACAGACTTAATGGACCAAATGGTCTCTTTCTGCACTGTAGGGATTCCATGATTACTCTGTACCTGTTTGGTGGACTATGCCAGCCCCATCTCTCAGGAGCTCCATCCCACGACATTTCTCTCACCCTCACTAACCTTTGGTTTAAGGTTTTCCAATGCTCCTGAATCTCTGATGGGTGTAGTGCCACCAGTTAGCACTCCTCTCCACCTGCACCAGCAGTAATGAATAATTGCTGGCATTTGATTTGGTGGGCAGGACCTCCAACGTTAGGGACTTCCATTTCAGGGGAATGCCAAACAGCAGCCCGTTAAGTGCCTGAACGGCAGTTAATTTCATTGGGCCTGACTCAAAGAACTGATAAGTTTCCCTTTCTACCCCACCCACCCTCAACTCAAACCAGTGGGCAAAACCCCAGTCAGTACCACAAAATCCAATTCATTAATTCAAACTATTTCAGCTCTGACACACAGAATTAAGCACAATTGGAATTTCGTCACCAATGAAGGGAAAACTACAATAATGATCATCCTTTATAAAACAATGTACAAGAAGGTGTGTGGCATTTATATTGCCTATACATTTTAATACCCTGCTTTGTCTGCAGTTGAAAATAAATACATAATGAACTCCTTGAAGACAGTCACACACCTTCCCGAACATGATATACTAGGATGCTTAAAAATTAAACTGATTTGTCTGCTATTCCATTCCTTCTGACATTTGTAAATCATATTAGACATACTATTACATCCGAGATATACAGCACAAAGCTACAAATTCACAAGACACCATTTAAAAGTTTATAGTTGGGTAAATAGAAAGCAGCAAGCTTGCTGAACTGTGCTGACAGTTAATGAAGACAATTGTCACAGTGCCCCATTTTCTTTTGTTTTATCCTACAGAGAGAAATTAAATGTACATAAAGGACTTGAGTTTAATGCCCTGACACACATTTACAGACTATTCACAAGACATGGAAACATTACATGAAAATACTGTGTAAAAAGGCTGATTGTTATGGGTAGTTTGCAGACTCTATACATTTCTACAGCACAAAAAAACTACTCATAATATCCGTGTAATAGATTTTCCTATGGAAGGATTGCTTTACTTCTTTTTGCTGAATAAAAATGCAGCTATTCAAAGTCCACGTGGGTTACTGCAAAAGCAAGTTTCTTTCCATATTATTTAATTCCATGATTATCACTGCATAGTTCTCTGTTTGAATTATTGCAGTATTTTATTATTACTTTCCTAATGTTCTCTCCTGTGCACAGGCAGGTCAGTAAGGAGCAAATAGAACCGGAGTGTGCGCTGCCCGTATAGGTCCAGGAGCTGGTCGAAGGAGAGCTGGAGGAAGGGCTGCTGTTTGGAATAGAGTGGCTGCCGGGCTGGAGCGCAAAGCAAACGGTGAATTCACTGCAGCTGCAGCAGCTGCTGCTGCAGCAAATGGGTTTGGTAAAAGGCGAGCAGCCAGAGGCTTAGAGAGTTCTTTCTGAAAGGCCAGTTTCACCTGTAAATGACAACAGCACCGTGAAAATGTGTTCATGACTAAAGATTTCAAGGTTTTCCTGCATATAAAGCATTATCATCATATACTATGTTCCATCGTTATAACCTTTGATAATCCAGAAATATTTCATTTTAGTCAATTTTTGAATTCATCTGAGCATTGAAAATGTTATTATTAGGAAAAAGAAATCAAAGTAATCTGCCTTAGTTATTCACAATACTTACAGTCTTTTTTGTACTTTCTCTACCCTGACACAGATGGATATTAGATGTAAGAAAAGTAAAATCTAATTTGGCTGTTACAGATTCATATTAAAACTGAATTCCCCGAGGATGGGCATGGAAAGCCACCATTAATTTATTGTGAGCCACCACAGATAAATGGGATCAAAATGTGACAATACATAGAAATGATAACACAATGAACTCAATGCTTCTATGAAAGTAATTTTCCAAGTTCAGCAGCAGTTACGCAATTCACACGTAAACCAAGCTCCTTTTGCTTAATCAGCAATTAAATAAATATTAACAATATTAAATCTCTCCCTCTATAGTCAAGTGAACACTCAAACACTTTTGTTTTCTTCGACTAAACGCTATGCTTCTTATTTGATGACTAGACCGACATTCAATAATTTAGTAAATTGATGATGGATCAAAATATGGTCAGGATTAGAGCAACGTTAGAGTTACAATAAGAAATTTAATGGTGCTTTCAGCTCATTATACATATTTCTTAAGATTGGAAGAAATGCAGAATAACTAGCATCCATCGTTTTAATCTGTTGCAGAGTGAAAATTACCCTAATGCTTTTCGTATCTGAGCCCACTTATAGGCAAAAGCCTCGTTCCACATTGGAAGATAATAATATATTCCAGAGTGTTCTATTAACTGAGGTACTAAATACAAGTATTAAAATAAAATCTTAGTTTCATAATTCCACTGAATATTCATTTTCAATCAGTAAGGGTCCTGAAACCTGCACAATACTTTATCACGATACTTTACAATTTCAATATTAAGTGTCTGAGAAATTCAAACAGGTACAGTTGCTGTTTGTCACATATGGCATAAACACTCTACCCCTACAGAGATATGTTCCACTTGAATTAATATAAAAGCTTTAGTTAGAGGTTAGCAAGACCAAAGTTTATGGACTCCATGCACAGAACGGCACTCCTGCAATTGAAACCAAATGGGCTCAGTGGTTAGCACTGCTGCCTCAAAGCGCTAAGGCCCAGTTTTGATTCCAGCCTTGGGGACTGTCTGCGTGCAGTTTGCATGTTCTCCCCATGCCTGCAACCCAAATATGTGCAGGTTAGGTGGATTGGCCATGCTAAATTGCCCATAGTATCCAGAGATGTGCAGGCTGGGTGGAATAGCTATGGGAAATATGAGGTTATGGAGTAAAGTGGTCAACTGGGTCTGGGTGGGATACTGTTCGGAGGGTCAGTGCAGACTTAGTGGGCTGAATGGCCTCCTTCCACAAGGTAGGAATTCTGTGATTCAAATATGCATACATTGTCAATGTTCCACTGTTTATCCAGCCCAAGGACTCTGTCCATGATCATTAAAAAATTAAAGTTCCCAAAGTCAAGTTTATCTCTAACTCCTGTTATTGAACATGTCTGGTTCGACAATAATGAATGGCAAAGCAAAAATGTAGCGGATGCTGGAAATCTGAAATAAACACAAAGCTGAAGATACTCAACAGGTCTGACAGCATCTGTGAAGAGAGAAACAGGTTTAACATTTCAAGTTGGGTATGACTCTTAAGAATTCTGAAGAGTAGGCAAATCGGATTTGAAATATTAATTCTATTTTTCTCTTCAGAGTTGCTGCCAGACTCAAAATCATTCATGATGTACTGCAAGCCTGCTGGAATCAAGTGTTGACTATAGATAATTGACTCTGTTCCATTGTTCTCGTGTTAAGTAGGCCAGTTTGAGAATACCCGGACACTGACTACCTTCCTTTTGAACCAGGAAGAATAGCTGACTATCGGATTACTCAAATCACAGGTTGTCTATCACTAAACATATAGCAGATATGAAAAGCTCTTCACTGCTGCATAAGGTAATGGTTCTGTCATGGTTTATGTTGGAGACCGCATTAGACTTTGCACAATGTGATAATGTCATACATAGCCCTGGGTGGTTAAAAAGGATTTCAGCTCTAGATCCTGATGGGATCACATCTGACATCTCACTGATTCCTGTCATAGAGTCAGACAGCATGGGATCAGACCCTTCGGTCCATCCAGTCCATGCTGACCATAATCCCAAACTAAACTAGTCCCACCTGCCTGCACTTGGCCTATATCCTTCCAAACATTTCTTATTCATTTACTTATCCAAATGTTTTTTAAACATTGTAACTGTACCCACATCCACCACTTCGTCTAGAGGTTCATTCCACACACAAACCATTCTCTATGTAAAAATGTTGCCCCGATGTATTTTTTAAATTTTTCTCCTCTCACTTTAAAAATATGCCCCCTAGTCTTGAAATCCCCCACGCTCGGGAACAGAGACCTGCCATTCGCCTTACCTATTCTCTTCATGATTTTACAAACGTCTTTAAGGTCACCCTCAACTTCATATGCTCCAGTGTAAAATGTCCCAGCCTATCCAGCCTTTCCTAATAATACAAGCCCTCCATTCCCACTATATCCTGGTAAATCTTTTCTGAACCCTCTCCAGCTTAATAATATCTTTCCTATAACAGGGCGACCAGAACGGGTCACAGTACTGCAGAACAGACCTCACCAATGTCCTGTACAACTTTAACATGATGTCCCAAATTGTTTACTCAAAGGTCTGTGGAATGAAGGCAAGTGTGCTAAACACCTTCTTAACCACTGTGTCTACATGTGACACAAACTTTAAAGAATTATGTACCTGAACTCCTAGGTCTGTCTGTTATATAAATGATTTTGTTGAAAACGTAGAAGGCATGGTTTGCAGATGACACCAAAATTGGTGGTATAGTGGACAGTGACGAATGTTATCCAAGATTGTAAAGAGACCTTGATAAATTGGGCCAATGGGCTGATGAGTAGCAGATGGAGTTTAATTTAGATAAATGCGAGGTATTGCATTTTGGTAAAACAAACAATGGCAGGACTATACAATTAAACATAGGACCTTAAGTAGTGTTGTAGTACACAGTCTGAGTCACTGCGTTGAACTAAACAACATAATCTGTACCTATTGCTGTAATGCAATGAACCAAATCATATTTTTGAGACAAGTGTCTCTCCTTGTTAAGACTCACCAGCAGTTTATCCTCCCACAGCTAGCTAAATAGGTCATTAGATATACAGTCGTAAAGAAAGTAGGATTGATGAAAACACTCTCCTCCAATCACAAAACTGTTATTGGTTATCACTGAAACATTTGACATGATGGTCAGAAGTGGGGATCATTGCATACACACAATCATGGAATCACCACATCGTGGAAACAGGCCATTCAGCCCATCAAGTCCACAATGACCCTGCGAAGAGCATGCCCACCCAGATCCACCCCCCTACCCTTTCCCTGTAACCCTGTAATTCCCCATGGCCAATTCAGCTAACCTGCACATCTTTGGAGGAAACCAGAGCACCCAGAGGAAGCCCATGCAGACATGAGGGGAATGTGCAAACTCCACACAGACAGTCAGCCTATGGTGTAATCAGAATTTAAAGCAAACATCAAGCTTAAGGAAAAAGCATATGATTGAGCAAAGATGAGCAGGTCTGATGATTGGTCAGAATATAAAGAATGGCAGAGAGTGACTGAAAGGTTAATCAGGATGAAGAAATTAGAGTATGAGAGGAAGCTAGCTAGAAATGTGAAAATAGATAGCAAGAGCTTCTTTAGGTATTTAAAAAGAAAAATATTAAGTAGTGTGTCAGTCCTCTAGACAGTTAGAATGGGAGTTAATAGTAGACAACAAGGAAATGCTGAATGAAATGGACAAATGTTTTGCTTCTGTAGCTGTGAATCAGGTGGAAGGGAAAGAGGAACTTAGTGAAAATGCAATCACCAGTGAAGTGATACTAAGCAAACTGATGGAGATGCAGGTTGACAAGTCTCCATGTCCAAATGGACTTTATTCCAGGGTCTTAAAGGTGCTAGCTGATCAGGTGGTAGCTACATTTGTGTTAATTTCTCAAAATTCTCTAGATTCAAGACAGCTTCCAGCAGCCTGGAATGGAGCAAATATAAGCCCTTGATTCAAGAGGGAGGAAATTATTAAACAGGAAACTTTAGGCCAGTTAGTTTGCATCTTTATGAAGAAGATGTTAGAATCAATCATTAGAGAGGCTGTGCATTTCGAAAAACTCCAGGTATTCAGGAAGGGTCTGAATGGTTTTGCTTCTCCTTATTTAAGGAAAGAGGTAAATACATTGGTGGGGGTCAGAGGAAGTTTTCCTGGAATAGATACTAGAATTAATGGGCTGTTTTATCAGGATAGGTTTGACACTTTGGACTTGTTTCGACAGGTGTTTAGAAGAGTGAGAGATGACTTGATTGGAATGTATCATATCCTGAATGCTCATGACAAGGTGGACGTGGAAAGAATGCTTCCTCTTGTAGGTAAAACAAACAAAGGCAAGAACAATATTGAAGCTGTTGAAGGATTTTCATCGAGAAATCCTGAGTAGACAATCCATCTAGGCATGATCTTAGCATCACAGATGCCAGTCTTCAGCAAATTTGAATCACTGAATGGCCATAAAAACTGGATATAGCAATGCTGATTGATACTGGGACCATCCCGGCTATGGTACTGAAGACTTGTATTCCAAAATGAGCCAAGTAAATTGTGTCAGACCAGCAACAACACAGGCATCTGCTCAACAAAGTGGACATTTACCAGTTGTATCATGCCATAAAATGTATGACAGCTCCAAACAGCAAACTATTGTGTGATTAGTTTATTCTCAATCTTGGGAAAAGCGATTGAATGCATCGTCAACAATACTATCAAATGGCAATGTTACTCTTAAATAATCTGCCCATCGATGCTCATTTTAAGTTTCACTAGGACCACTCGACTCCAAAACTCATGAAAGTGATATTCAAACATGCACATAAAAGTTGAATTCTAGAGGTGACCCTTGATATTACGATAGCGTTTGATCAAATGTGGCATTGAGGTATTTTTAGAAAAAAAAAGTTAAGCCATTGGGAATTGAGGAAAAACATTTGACTTGTTAGAGTAATAGCATAAAGTAAGATGTTAGTGATGGTTGGAGGCCAATCTTTTAAACCCAGACATTGCTGCATGAGTTCCTCAGGGAAATGACCTAGACCATCATCTTTAACCGTTTCATCAATGTCATTCTCTCCATCATAAGTTCAGAAATGAGGATGTTCACTAATGGTTATTCACATTTCTGTACCATTCACAATTCTTCAAATACTGTTGCAGGTCATGCCCACATACAGCAACATCTAGACAATTTTCAGACAAGTAACATTTATGTTGGACAAATGAGAGACAATGACCATCTCCAACAAGAGAGAGTCTAACTATCTCTGTTTGATATTTATTGGCATTGCCAAATGCTACCAGCCCCCATATCAACTTCCTAGAACAAGGCACTGGCTAAAAACTGGATATAAATACTGCAGAGATAGTAGGAACTGCAGATGCTGGAGAATCTGAGATAACAAGGTGTAGAGCTGGATGAACACAGCAGGCCAAGCAGCATCAGAGGAGCAGGAAGGCTGACGTTTCAGGCCTAGACTCTTCTTCAGAAAATGAA